TTATCCGACTAAAACGCAGTGGCGGCGCACCCATGCCTTTGGTGGTCGTGATACTGCCCAAGATTGAAAAGTCCCAGCAGCTGTTCAATGAACATGAGCTGCTGGGTCTAGCAATCAGAGTTGAAGTTCAAAAGAACTCTAGACTTATTGGGCAGTGTCACCGCTGCCAAAGGTATGGTCATGCGCAGTCTTACTGCACAGCACCTCCCAAATGTTTAAAATGTGCTTCCGACCACATGACACAATTATGCCCCCTCACAGGACAAGAGGAGCGAAAGTGTGCGAACTGTGGAGGGGCGCATCCCGCTAACAGTCCCTCTTGCAGATTCACCCCCTGGCGAATTCTGGAAGTCATAGTGCAAAGACGCAGCAAGTCATACGCGGAAGCAGCCGTCTCAACATCTTCGGCTGCCCCCTCTGTTCAACCCACTTTGAACACGCACTAAGTCCCCTGATTAGCGCCACTCAGGCATTGCAGGCGATCTTTCCGCAGCCATTGAATGGCTAAGTACAATAGACAACCTGCATTTATCATCTGTCAGGTATCTTGGAGTCATCATTGACAAGGGATTTACCTGGCAGATACATACTGATATTTTGAAAACAAAATTCCAAATAACCTTTCGGCAGCTTTATCCTCTGTTGTGCAGAAATTCAAAATTCAGTTTGATCAACAAGATTCGGTTGTATAAAATGGTCAAAGACCCAAAATCACATACGCATGCGAGGCTTGCTGTTTTCTTGCCAAGACGCACATGCCGAGACTGCAAGTCCTGCAAAAAAGAACCCTACGCACAATTACTAACGCCCCTTGGTACGTGTCAAATGAGACTATTCACAGAGATCTTGATATCCTATATTTAAAGGATTACGTAAAACAACAGGCGCAGTGGCGTTATAATCAAGCGGAATCGCACAGCAACCCTCTGTTGCGTGAATCAGTAGACTACACAGTCAAGCAAGTTCGCAAACATTAAATTGTAAATTCAGACTAGCCAAAATTATTTCAGTATACAAAACCGATCAAAATTATTTTTTGGAGTTACAAAATAATTCGAGTAGTCAAAGCAATAATGCTTAAGCTATTTCAAATGATTTACTTCTTTTCTTTGCTCTATTTCTTCCTTCCTTTCTTTTCTTCTTTCCCTTTTCCCATTAAACATGTTTGGTATCTGGGTAGCCAGACCTGACGGACTAACAGACCGACGAGACTTTTAACTAAGAGTAAAGGTCCACCGGACCGCTCTGACGAATAGTAGCACAACATTTCCGTATATACGTCCGCTATCCCACGAGCGATGTGCCAGCGAGTTTTCACGAATTTGAAGTCGAGATTCGAGGAATGCGTATGCATCGATAGCTCACGTCTCTATGTTATTTTAAAAAAATAAAATCTTCCCTACGCTTTGTAGTTTTTTCTAAGATTTTGTAAAATTCCGTCAACTTAAAGGCCCACCCTGCATAACAGTAGAGTCACAAATGGTGGTGTGACCTTTTCGTTGGGCCACCCTGTATATTTTCCTGTTAATTCATCTGGAGCTGCTTTCTAGAGGTTGTGTTTGCAAACTTGCTCTAAAAAATCAAGGTGCAGTGTTGGTGATAAGCACTACCGAGTTACTCTGAATAACTCAACTGCGTCACTGAAAAGCAGCTCTGACTGTATCCGCTAATCTAAATGATTGCGAATCTCATGCATTCGGGGAGGGGGGTCTAGGCAAATATAATTGTTTTCAAAAACGTGTTTTCTGATTCATCTATGGTAAAATCTGACACAATATTCTTCGTGGTTATCAGTTATAAATATAAATTTCACGCGAGGTTGGTCGAGCCAAATCCCAGATCTCGCCATATTCCTAAAACTAGCAGAACAACAGTCTGATTATTGCTTAATTAAGTGCTCAAATAGTGCTTTAATTAATGCAAAAAAGAAACATTTAATGCTTCCCTACTTATTGAGAAAATTAATGTTCTGCTAATTTACGGAAAATTTAGCAGAACACTATGCTGTAAATGCGTTAAATGATTAATAATGAAGGTTCTACATTCAGATAATTAAGTGCTAATTAAATGTTTTACATGACGCGGGAAAAAAATGTTGAAACATTTTGTTTTCGTACGAGTAAAATTGAGTGGAATCTCATTATCCACAACATACTAGGAACATCAAATTAGAATGCCGGATGTAAATATATTTTTTTAAATTATATGTTCTGCTCACTTAAGTTTCGAAATTTTCGTTTATTTTTCGATTTTACCCGTAAACTGCCTCGTATAAAATTAAAGTCTTAAATCAACTGGCACTCGATTCTATAAATATAAGTTAGCAGGACGTGTGATTTACAAAACAAAATTAATCGACACTTCAGATTATTTTTTTATTCAATATACATATACATATTCTCTGAATAACAATGCTTTAATAAAAATTTAGTATATATATATATATATATATAGTTGTTAATTGGGAAATTGGCAATGACTACTGCACATATATATATACATATACAGGGTTATCCAAATTAAGTGTCCACCATTAGTAACTTTGTTATTAGTGAAAATACAAAGTTGTTTGAATTAGCAAACTAGTAGCACTTTTAACGCTGGTAAAAATGAGAAATAAAAAAAAACAATTGAGAGTCGTTATTTTGATTTTTTTCAGTAAAATAACATTTTTTTAAATGGAAACCCCTGTATATTATATTTTTTTCTGTTAAAGCATCAAATTTTAAACAAAAAAGCTTACAATAACTTTTCTCCTAGGTTACAAATTGTTGAAGTTATGGCCTCCAATCTGAAACAATTAAATTGTATCGACAAACTTTATTTTCAACATCAACTTATAATCTTACAAAATACAATAACAATTTTTTTTAAAGAAGATGCTCGAAAACACCACCTTGTTCTTCAATACATTTTTGGGCACGTTTTTCAACTGCTCGAACTGTCTTAAGTATGGTTATCGTACCTTCGCTTGTAAATTTGGTTCTTTAAGTAACCCCACAAGAAGTAATCAAGTGGGTTTAGATCTGGTGATCTGGGAGGCCACTGTATTGGGCCATTTGTTCCTATCCACTGATCATTAAAAGTAGTACTTAGAAAATGATAAGTACCTCTGGAGTTGTGGGCAGGTGCGCCATCTTGCTGAAAATGCAGATGATGTCATATATATATTTATATTTTATAAGTATATAAGATCCAATTCGTCTAAGAAATTAGTCAGAATTTCTGACATAAATTCCACATATCTTTCACCAGTTAGGGTTCCCTCATAAAAGAACGGGCCAACAATTTTTGAACCAATTATACCGCACCAAACGTTGAAACTGAAACGGACTTGTGGGCCTCTTGGATGTACTAACAAAAGATTTTCTCTTGACCAATAATGGTGGTTTTTTCTATTAAACATTCCAGAATTTGAAAAATTTGATTCATCTGTCCATAAAAGGTAACGAAAGTTATTTACATTTTGGCGACAGAAGCTAAGATACCAATGGCAAAAAACAAGTCTTCTCTCTGGATCCCCTGCCAAAAGCGTTTGAACTGGTCGGTACTTATACGGAATAAATTTGTATTTTTTTAAAATCCTTTGAACAGTACCATAACTGAAATTAGAGTCCTTGAGAATATCTGCTATTGAATTCTCACGATAAGCTTCAAAATATCCAATAACTGCAATTTCCGTGGCCTCGCTTATTATGAATTCTTTTTTTGCCCTTGTTTTAGCAAAAACATTTTCGTTGCCCCTAAATTTTCGATAAAGTCTCAGAAAATATCGTTCATACGGTTGAATGCGAGCGGGATATAATTCACTGTAGTATTCTCTTGCTCTCAAGGAGGATTTTCTGCACACTAAATAGCATTCTAACATATCACACTTTTCTTCATGGGAGAACATTTTTCTTTAAATTAATGACACAATAAAGCTTATAAACAAGTATTTACACTAATGTTTGACATTATTTGATTTTATCATTGTTTTCCAAAGCCTTCTAGTTGCGAGTATGTCCAGTTTAACAATTTGTCGCTTATTTTAATGCTGTCAAATCGCGAACGCCATGTTGTTTTCATAGCCGTCTTAATATTATAATACTGCAAATAATTAAAAATATTTATCGTTATTTTGACTTTAGCGGAAAAGTCATTATGAACTTTTTTGTTTAAAATTTGATGCTTTAACAGAAAAAAATATAATATACAGGGGTTTCCATTTAAAAAAATGTTATTTTACTGAAAAAAATCAAAATAACGACTCTCAATTGTTTTTTTTTTATTTCTCATTTTTACCAGCGTTAAAAATGCTACTAGTTTGCTAATTCAAACAACTTTGTATTTTCACTAATAACAAAGTTACTAATGGTGGACACTTAATTTGGATAACCCTGTATATATATATATATATATATATATATCAGAAAATCGTAAAATTCGCGATTAACGGGATATCTTGTCTTATATGGCTCCAAGGAATTAAAATAATACTTTTCGTGAAGCATTTAATTAGCATTAATATTGATCGAGTATTAGTTCAAGTTGCATCAGTTTTCCGAGATAATCGAAAAATAGACGAACATTTCGTAACTACAGTGAGCAGAATATGTAATTTACAAAAAACATTTATAAATCTGGCATTCTCGATTAATTTCCGATTTAATACCCATAGTATGCTGAGAATAATGAGGTTTTAATTTACATTTCAGCGGAATGGAAAATTCTATTAATGCGATTATTTAATTCCAATGTATAACAAAATTTTACTCAAGCGAAAAAAAGATTAATATTTTTTCCCAGCATTTAATTAGCACTCAATTATCTAGTTATGTAACCTTCAATATTAATAATGCATTTGCAACATAGTCTCTTTTAACTTGATTTTTTTTGTCCTACTTACTTTAAGGACATTCATCTTAGAGGGGGTTAAGGGGGGTCATAAAATCGTCAAAAGCGCCTCACGTTATTAATTAACGCCCCCTAATGTGGCAAAAGCATGATAGTTTATCCCCCTAAAACTTAACTAGCTCATCTTCTCTTCAAGTAGCCGCTTATCTTAGACCATTGCCTGGCTTACAATGTGGAATATCGTTTTTATCCTAGGGTAAGTCAAAACATGAATAAAAATCACTTTATTATAATGCAATTCAAATATATTACATTGAAACATTCTACATACAGTTTTTAGGTTTTTAAAGAATTGCGTAGGTTTGTCCTATAATAATCATTAATTTTGTTTGAATTTTTGCTATGTACAGAGAAAATATCACAACAGCTTTTTTCATTTCGAATGTAATTGCACTTACAGCTTAAAAATTTTAAACACCCGCAAGTCTTTTAAAACCTCTTTTTATTATAAAAATTTATATGACCGTTGGTATAAAAACCCTGTTAATTCTCTTTAACATAACGTTTGTTACCAGGAAGTATATTAATAAATGAAACACCAGACGTTTGTGACCAAGCCAGTTAAATCCTATTCAGAAAGAACAATGTTAAAAATTTCACCTTGCCCTATTTTGATGATACAAACTTTCTGATCAGGTTCAACTTGAACCCAAATAAATAACTAGATTGATGGGGAACTGTCAATTTATATTGGCCGATCTCTACTCTTTATAAAACTAAAGAAGTTTTTTATGCCCATGCTTACTGAAATTGATTGTGAATTTCAATTTAAGAAATATTTTTGCGAGAATAAAAGGCAAAAGTCGGATTAATAATCATAAAATAATATTTTATTACAATTTAAATTTTAAACGATTTTGGGTTAAGAAAACAACTGAAAATATATTGCTGCACGTTTTAGCGTGGTTTTAACCTCTCCTTGTCAAGATTTTACGGAAGAATCTTTAGTCTTTAACAAACAAAGTTATGGAATTCAATGAAAACACTGCTTACACCTTGCTTAGTCACATTTTTATACATTCTAAAGCCATCAATCTAAATTATAGTTGTATCTAATTATATCTGCAGTATACCATCTAACTGAGAAATGGTGACGCTTAACTTTCTGACATAATCTTTGCCTTCCAAAGACATCTGAAACCTAGTCGCCACCTTGGTCAGTAGCACTTTATTGTCTTCAGACGATTTAACAAACCTTAATTGCATATTTATGTAAATTAATAATACATTATTTGTCATTTAATTGTTTTTAACAATATTATATTCTAATCTAGACTGGGTCATCAAACTCCGATGCTTAAAATCATAATAAACCAAAGCATCACCTATGTATTGTACAGAATTGCTTGAATAAATGTTTTTCAAAGCAATAAAAATTATGTTCTACACACAATCACATATATTATTTTTTTGTACTTTATCCAACCTTATCTTTTGTTTTCGAGCTAACAGATAGTTTTTATCAAAAATAACGAGTCACAATTCTGTACTATAGATACAGCTAGAAATTTTTAGTTAACCATAACCTTACTATAAAAAATAACTAATAAAAGGATAATTAATTACAAAAAAATCATAGCCATTACAAATAGACGGGCGCTTACTTTTTAGCCATCAAATACATCAATTTCTGTATTCTAAAACATTTTACATACAACATACAGAACACTGTTAGAATTTTCAGCCTTCCTTATACTTTCACAGTATAAAAGACAAACTATAAAAATACTAAAGCTTTTTGCCCAGAAATACTAACTAATCCTGAAAAAGAGAAGTAAATCATGCGCTTTACAAAAACGACATCAATAATGTAGAAAACAAGCAAGATCTTCGATCTGGACAAAGATATATTTTGATCCCATTGTGAACTATTAATTTGTGCATTCTGACAGTTGTAAAGCTTTTGAGAAGTTTAAATCACACCTAATTTTAATATTACGAGAAAAGACACTTTTTTATTTGACGACTAATAGTAGCTTCCTTCAAATGCATATTTACAGGAACGTACCTTGGGCTGATAATGTAGTCACCTCGGTTTTAATGAACTATTGAAACCGGCTTTGTTAAAGTGTTACCTCTCCTTATAGTACTTATCTCAGAAAACATTTTGCATAAGGAAGTAATACTATAATATTTTTGTAAATGTATCATGTTTTCAATTCGTTAATATTTTTGTATATTTTGTTCTTCACCATGATATGCTAGTTTCTGAGCAAACTTTTCAAAATATTTGAGAGCTTAGAAAACTAATGATATTCAACTAGCAAACAGAAAAGTGTTAAAATCAAACCAAAACCAATTTCATGCCACAATAGAAAATTAAAATAATGATGTTAATTAAAAAAATACATAAGAAACTGAAGTGATTCATTGGACATCTATAATATTAAAAGTGCTCGCCCGATTTGAGATTAACGATAGATTATTTCAGCTGTCTTGAGAAGATTCCATGTAGTAGTACAATCATTTGCGAATTCATAAATCACAAAAGATGAAAGACTTAGGTACCGTAGAGAAATAAAATTACGATTTTTTACAAAATATTTACAAATTACAGCAAAAATATACACAAATGATAATGAACAACTGTACACAGGATTTCATGACAATGATCAATAAAATCCAATCAAAAATGATAGTAGGTGCATTTAAACAATTCTAATTTACACTATACAATTATAAATTCCTCAACACGCTACCAATTTGATTTAAATCGCATTTGGGAAATACTGCCAGTTGACCATGAATGATCGGAAAAAAATTAAACATGAAATGGTTAAAGGCGGACTATAACAGCTAAAATAAATTGAACTCTACTCTATTTCATTATATCTATATTAGATGGCATCTAATCAGCGTTTTTAAAAGGATATTTAACTTACGCCCAGTTTTTCAGTCGCAGGTAAATTTCACTGCTAACCGGAAGTTAAACCTCTAAAACAGTTTTTCAATATCAGGTTTGCCCTAACCGGTAGTTAAGATTTAACCAGAGGATAAGGTACTGGTGAAATATGTATAAAGTTGTAATTATGTGGTGGCCATATAGTAGAATTGGCAATTTTATATGATCGAGCATTTCATCATCTCACGAAATGTATCCATTATCTATTGGCCAGATCATGATGTGCATGTCTCAATATGATCAAATAAACGCGCAGCTATTTCATGAAATGGTTAAGCATGTTTGATAAAATCCCAAATCAATACATTAATTTCCGATAAAGGTGCTTCGTTTACATATTAACAGTGCGATCATTAGTAAAAAATTTGTTTTTCTAAATCAACATTCTAATAAATCGTTACTAGAAGAGGAACAATGCAAGAAAACGTCAAAAACCGGTAGAGTGATTACAGGTTAGTACTTTACTCTTAAATTACATAAGCGTTTAGTTATTTGAAGTCTAAATCGTGTGCCAGCTAAAATATTGTACTTATGTAAAACTGATCTTAATTTTTATTCAATTTTTAGTTTGTACATCAAACAAAGGAGAGTATTGTGGCCACTCGAAGTAAAAACTTAATTTGTGATATCTGATATGCTCAAAAATGTTATATTTATGACACGTTGTGCAATTTAAGATTGTTTTAATACAATTATTTTATTTTAAATTCCTGTCATAATTAACCAACAATAGACATATTCTGGATATTTATTAAACAGTCTATGGATAGTTAGACACACTATTTTATGGTATGGCTAATCGTGGATTACCAAATCGTTAAACGTTTACGATTCAAAGATATGATCAAATTTAGTTGGGCATTTCATGAAATGGTCAATTCTACGATATTTCCACGGCAGTTACACCTATACGTATTTTACCTGGCAGTGACATGCGTTGTCACAGATGCAGCGAGATATGACTATCGAGCGTCACGAAACCCACAGAACACGATAGTTCAGATGTAGAAGCGACGTTGCCGCATCAGATATTGCAAGTTAGTTAACCAGAACTTGAAAAACGAATTTTTGGGAACACATGGTTAACTTCCAATAGTTACCCAACTTGAAAGTTAACATGAGATTGAAAAAGCACTGTCATAATCTCCTTCCAAATCTTAAACCACAAGAGAGGAAGCCTGTTTTTACTCTCGTATCCCACAGTTGTACTGCTTTCAAAAAATTTTTCACAATAATGACACAGCAACCAGTAAGGTAGTTATATAAATATATGTTAAATGTCCCTATTATATGGTTCAAGATATGAAATCTCCATATGCCTTCATAATGCTGTACTAAATTAGTCCGTTTATGGTGTGACATATGAATATTTTTATTGCTAAGTTGGGTAACAATTAAAAAGTTGACATCAGGCAAATTCAAATTCTATATCACATTTCTTATAAGTATTATAGATTCAGCAATGTGCTATAGTCACAAAAACAAAATACTATGAAACCAGCTATATATTAAAAAAATCCAAAATAAGTGTCTATTATTTTCTGCAGCAATGCAATTTGTATTAAGCACTGGAAGAGTACTAAGAAACTGTCACACTTCCAGTCTTTCATATATGTCTTGTTTTTGGACCACTATGATTAAAAATACCATAAGGCCGTAGGAACATGTTTCAATTTGGTGTTTTTTTATCAAAGCTATGAGTTTTCCTTTAACTAACCTATTTCTCTCATATCTTAATTTCAGTTTTCTAATTTGCACACTTTTACTCTCTGTGGTAACCGTTGATTTAGAACGTGAAAACCACAATCAACATTTTAGTAGTTTGAGGAATGTTTCCAATTTTATAATCCCAGAAACTAAAAACGATATATGACTAAGCTAGAGACTAAGATTTTAAAAGTATGGTAAGGAGATGTAGGTTTTAAAATCAGAAACACTCCTTATAACACGCATTTAAATGTAAGAGTATATTTTTGATTGGAGTTTATATTAAATGTATAGTTGATCTTCAAAATCACAATAACAATAAATTTCCATTACATGATAAATATAACACTCAAACCATAAGCAATTTTTAGTTTAGTAAATGCTAACAGTAGAAGATTTCTCTGCTTTATATTTTGAAAGGCAAGACGATACACTACATAAACGTGCTCAAAAATGAATTCCAGTATAAGACTATTACATCAAAAATGTTCGTTGGTACCTGAAAACAACATGTTCTTATTAAAAGAAATGGACCTCATTTCTAGAATGCATCACTAAAAAAATTACGTCTGTCTCAACTATCTGGTTTGAATTCTAATTAATTTTTAAAACTTTACCTATCCTTAATTCCACTTTTTTAGTAACGTCAAATACATTGATTTTCACACAACTACCTTTATGTGCATTTTTGAACAGGTTTAATTTGATCATTTGTCCTTCATACCCACATTATTCATTAGGCATATGCATTTGTACTACATGTGCATTTTTTCATGATAGCATTGGCAAAAATAAATGCTTATGTTTTAATGACTAGTAATAAAAAGTAGAAAGTTTAAAAATTAACAGAGAGAAAAATGCAGTTGTAGAAACAGTCTGAATGCACTTCAAGTAATATAAGTAATCAGTTTTGTTTATACGTGAATGTTTAAATGCTGAATGAAAACAGATATTGTGCACAGTGGAATGTTATTGTCCTATGTTTTGTTGATTATTCACTACTAAGAAAATGAAAATGGAATGAGATAGAAATCGTTTGTCAGGTTTAATATTGTTATATAAGTAGTTAAAAATCTCATCATAAATCATTAATCTCTCTTAATAAAAGAAACTCGATTATAGCTCTTAATCATACATTGAGAACAAGTATAAGTATTTACGTGAGGACTACACCACATCTCAAACAGAGAATTATCACAGTAAATCGTAGCAAATAACGAAAATTGCTTATAATTCGAAATTCCATATATATGTTCATCAGTCTGCGACTCAACTCAAATTCATAAGATTGAATTGTACTGTACATTTCTAAAATGAAGAATTCGTGTGTTCCTCATCAAACGGTGCTCGGCGTCGGACATTTAAGAGCTGCTTGGCTGGAATAACTATCTACCGTTAATCCTAAATAGATACTGGGGACACACAAAGAAATCTAGACTCTTAAGACATTCTTGTAGTGCGGTTTGTTGTAATTCATGTTTCTGTACAATGCTGGTGTCAGTTGATAAGGTGGTCCATCACATCTAAACAATGGCCGGCTCGGGTTGAAGTTAAAGTTCATCTGCAACAATGGTTACCATGATAGGCATGTCCTGATATCGGATTTCCGACTGCTGTTGACAATTGAAAACACACAGCTCACAATTTTTCGATAATTTTCTTGATCAGATTGATCTCATGGTTGCAAATAAGTTGAACATGATCACGTTAGTGTCATGGTGGAATCAAACAAACTTATCTTAAACGTGCCTTGGACGTAACTAAAAGCAAAATCAATAAAGAAAGTATCTTTATTCAATACATATAACACATCTATTGTATCATCTTACGTTCGTCGTAGGTCACGTTTCAGATCAATCTTCAACAATCCGTCAATTACTTTTACAGATTAAATGTATAAGTATAGTCCAACAGCCAATCGCAAATTTGTTTACATCGCGCTCTGAGATGACGATAAACACCAGTTAAATGTTACGTTCTAAAATTTAAACTTGTCAAGTTAAATGTTGATCGGAGCGGTGTGACTGATTTGAAAAACAAAAAAAGAAAATTTCCGTACCAAGATACATCGCGTACCGCATATTTTCAACAAGCATCTTAATTTAAGATTTGGTATAACATATTGGCAACGCGGCAATGAGCTTCGCTATCCACCGGCTTCTATCACTTTCTAACATATGTCTATTCACACTTCTCTCTTGTACACATTGAACTCAAGCCGTCAGACAAATTTGGTATATGTATAAAAAGTAAAGTCAAATAGATTGATTTCGCACTTCCTAAGCAATATACTCGTATGCTGAAGAATGATACCACTTTACATTTCGTAGAATGTCAGTACACAAAATAATGGAACCATTTAAAAATGTACGTTTCGCATTGATTTGTAGGAGCTAAGAGGGATGAGAAAGTCTGAGTATTATTTTGTACTAACTCTGCCGCCACTGCGTTTTCACAAACAAAGCAGCTAAATACCCCTTCCCAAATGCTGACAAAGTAGATGCAGTCGTTTATGAAATCGCATGTTTATAGAAATGGCCATAAACGTCAAACATGAAGAAAAAACATAAAGCTTGCAATTATAAAATTTTTCAATGCTCATTTTTTATATTCTTCATGAACCATAGGACTACGAGCCCCTTCCCACTTCAGTCGGCCCAACTATTGAAATCTTAGTTTTTTCTTATCAAACACAAATAATAAAAATGTAGCAGGGTGTTATAGGTTTAAAATATTAACGATGAATATTTTGATAATATATAGTAGAAAACACCAACTTTATCACTCCCTAATCAAATTTGCAGCATAAAAATAACACATGTTGCAATTACAGCATATCAACCTATTATCATTTCAATGCAAAATAAGTCTATAACGCATAGGTGGCTGTGAAAAATAAAAGCCATGACAATTGTTTTTATTAATCACAGCTGTCAGAATACGTTTAAAATAGTTTTGGGTAATTAAGGTTTTCAAAATGGGTAGAAGAAAGGTTATTAGTGAGGAAATTCGGTTACTGATAATTAAAATTTTTCATTCTGGGAAATCAAACTCAGAAATTGCAACTTTGTTAGACTTATCGCGGTACAGTGTGAGAAATATTGTTAGAAGATATAACGTAACTGGTTCAGTTAATATTAAGCCTCGATATGTGAAAAAAAGTAATATCACAAATGCCGACCGAAGAGCATTAAGAAGAATAATCGTGAAAAACAAGCGTGCCAATTATTTACAATTAAGTGCTCTGTGGAGTAATGCTGTTGGAAGGAGAATACCGAGGTCCACAACTCATAGAGAGGCCCACAAACTGGGATTTAGCACTTGCAAGGTAAGTTTTCTTATAAAAAAAGTGAAGTAAAAACCCTAAAGTTGCACAACTTGTTTATAGGCCAAAGAAAAGCCACTATTAACTCCACTGCAAAAGAAAAATCGGCTTAGATAGGCTAAAGAACATAGACAATGGACACCTCAACAATGTTGCGCAATACAATGGAGTGATGAGGCCCGATTCGAATTTTGTGTTGGTGACAGTCGCAGTACAGTTATTAAAAAAAAATTAAGCATTCCATGTTGACTGTCTGAAGTCTGGGGCAGTATGTCATCAAAACGAGTAGGAAAACTTCATTTTATTGATGGAAATGTGGATACAAACACATATTTGACAATTTTAGAAGAATCGCTTTTACCAGTGATGGAAGAATGTTGGACATCCGGAAAAGATTTTGTGTTTCAGCAAGATGGTGCAGCGTGCCATACCTCAAAAAAGGCTATAAAATGGATGGAAGAAAATAATGTACCACTTTTGAAATGGGTTTCTAGCAATCCAGATCTGTCACCTATTGAAACTTTGTGGCACGAGATGAAAAAGGTTCTACGACAACATCCTGCACCAAATTTTTGCCAAAACTTGGTTAACACTATGCCCTGAAGAATTTCAGGCGTAATAAAAAATAAAGGTGATGTTACCCAATGGTAACCTTTCAATTGTTGCTTTGTTAACTTCGTGCATTTATTCGCACATTGTTTATTTGTTCAGATGTTCTATTAGTTATAGGTCTAAGTGATTTCAAATATGTATTTTTTACGACTAGAGTGTATCTAAAATGTTTTTGAGAAAATAAATTGTTTTAGAAGTAAATAGTTTCGTCATGTTTAGTTTATAAAGGCATATTTTGGTACAAATCTTGAAGTGGGCCAACTGAAGTGGGAAGGGGCTCGTACGTATTATTAGATAGACGTACTTATAATCATTACTCCCAGATACAACGTAGGAAGCTTCAACAACCTGCAAGTAGAAGAACATCAGCTAGAAAATTAACAGATAACTCACCTCTCTGGACTTGCTTCTGCCCACAGGCATAGTCAATCCCGCAAGATGTCCCCTTCCACCGTACTTATCCTGATGCCTACCCCCTGCTGGGTGATACCCATTCGGCGTCGGCACGGCAGCAGGGCCCATTCCATTCTTTTGTATCCTTCGGGGCTGCTGGTGGCCGTTATGGTGATGGTGGTGGGGAGAGGACTTGTCGCGAGATAATGCCGGTGATGACGTCACACCGGCGACCGTGCCATTGCCGACACCGGGCGCCGTAGTCGAGGCTGATGACGTCACCGACGACGAGGAGGTCGTCGTCAGCGAGGACGAGGATCCGCCTGATAATAGTACTGACGATTCCGACGACTGCTCTTCTTGACCACCAGACCCATACGAGAAAGTTGCTAGGGTGCAGTACGAACCTTCCGATTCGCCGAGCCTGGAACAATGCATAGCAATCCTACTAACTAATTTAAGGAATTTTGTTTTATTATTGCACTTTAGGTGTCTTGCAAAGATGCACTGACACAGAAAATCAAAACTTGTCACTGATACTATGAAATACTGAAAACGAAATATAAAAATGCTTGAGGCAAAACGTATGCGTTTCTTATTGCTTGACATACTTTTTGAATTCATCTGGATTGAAAAACCTACATAATGTAATAAAAAATCGACATAATGTCACTTTTTAAGCTTCACAAAACGGGCGCGGATATTTCACAGTGAAAATATGATAGTTACAGATTATCTTACGTTAGTGACAGATTGAACAATAAATACATCGCTTCATCTCTTCCGACCAAGCGATAAAGCTATCGTCCAAGAATTATCTGAAATACCCGTTATTACCGCCAAAACTAGATTATGTTCGGTTTATTTACAAACCTAAAGCTAATCGAATTATTTGTTCATTCAAAAAATTTAACGTATAATACTCATTTTAGGCAAAAATGGACCTGGTCCGACTCGGAGATACATTTGAGTCAACCTGCTTAACACGGCTTTTTAACAGATTTAATAAAATCTGTTGTATTTGCTGCTAAAAGGAAAATAAAAAATACATCCACTTAGAGTTAACTACGCACATTTATATAAAAAAGAAGTCTCCTTGGACTCGAAAGGAATTGATACTTGATCAGGTTCTCTTAATTACGATAAATCTGTTTTAATGGCAAATGTATGTGTGGATATTGTATCTAACAGGTGCGTAATATTACTAGGATCTGAAGCTTCTTAATAGAACGTCTTTCATTGATGCCAAAAATGCAACGTTCACAAACTCCAACATCCGACATATAACTACTCCACGAACATTTTTAAAATGAGCAGGTTCCTTTGAACGTCAAAAAAGGGGGTTTAAACGATTTTCATTTTTTTTTTGTTTTATGGCCTTAGCTCCGCCGCCACTGGATCGTTTTCAAAAGCTACAAAGCATTTTCGTCTTAGTAGTGATTCACAATTTCATCAAAATCTGAGCTGTACTTTACATGTTGAAGAGAGGCCAAGACTCTTTGAACACTTAATGAATAATGGCGACGTCGGTTGTCGATCCGAAAATAATTCGGCGAAAAATACAACCTGACTTCTATAAATACACCGAAAATAAGGCTGTGACTTTTTTGTGATTACTATGGTTACTAAAATAAAAGACATATTGCTGATCCCAATTTATGTCATGAAGAGCGACTGCGAATCAATACTAAAAGGCAAGAACGCAAATTTAAGTCAATAAACCACCACAAAATAGGAGTCCTAATTCGACTCTCACCATTGGGGTATCGAAAACGGTAAGAGATACGAAGTCGGTTAAATGGGAGCAAAGTTGCTCACTTAGGAAACTAAGAAAATGATACTTAGAAGTTTCCAATTCCCAGTATTTGCGGAGACAGACGAAAGAAATAGAATTTACCCAAAATTGTTTTTACATTATCCCATTTGTGATGGGTTGTCAAAATTAAAAGTACAGTGACATTGCCTCTTTTTCTCGTCCACAAGATGGCCTAATTAGAATTTTAACATGACGGTTCGTCACTTGTCCCTGAACATCAACTTTTTTTATCTTATAGACGTATGTTTTGCTATGTAACAACAGACAAACCTGTAGCAAACTTCATTAGGGTCCACCCAAACCGTCAGTTCGGTTGGTAAACGCAAGTCGGTGTAACTAAGTCCACATTTACTAGCCGCCAACTCGAGTGTGATGTCCACTGGACTAACACAGTTGACCCTAATGCAACGATATCCTTGGCCCTTACTAGGTAAGTTGGGAAACCAGTGCTTCTCAAACCTGAAAAAATATTATTGCTAAAAAAATGCACAGCACTAAATATAAGAGCAAACTTTTTAATTATTCTTCAGACTATCAATTAATATTTAGGTAAAAAAAAATCTAACACACAGCTTGCAGCATTACATACCTTTGTGGCAACGCATATAAGGTTTGTTCGTATAGTAGTCGATGACTGTGTCGGATCCGGCCGCATGAATTCCGTCTATATAGCGTAGCAGATTGAACGAAATTTGTGTGGCAGAATCTTGGACACGATCACTGACAGATTGGCGACTGCTGTACGAACAAGACTATAATTCGCGAGGACTATAATAGTCTTCTCCACCAAGATAAGTGTAGATTTTTTCTCATTCAATTTAATTAGACTATGAAATGTAGCATATCTGAGAATTTGTCTGAATAACAGAGCGAGAGGAACGCTACTGCTACATCATAAAGACCGATAAAGATAGAAAATGCTACATACGTCGACACACTGGCGCTCCCACGGGGTGGAGGAGGGGGGTAAAGGGCGTAATTAGCCCCCTCCCCCCCAGACGACTCGAGCAGTCTTTGAAAAGGTGGTATAAAGTAAACGTCTTATAAAAAAATCTGTAACTTTAAGAAAGGATAGCGGCAACCCTGCCAACCCGCCCAGTGCGCATGCGACTAGCGATTACTCTCCCACCAACAACAACGGTGTGCGCTTCTTCCTGTTGGAACAGGTATAGCCTAGTCTTTTATGGTCCACAGTCTAGTGTCTAAATTCTGTACCAGTTCGGAGTCCGAAGTTAAGAAATCTTGTTTTACAAACAGAAAAGGTTCTTTGTTGATATATGTGAATTCGTGGAAACCAATAATGCTGTTTATTTGACAATATTTGTGTAACTTTTAGTGCTGGTTGACGGCTGCTGTTGTCAGGATGAGTAAAAGGAAACAGAATACCATCGATTGGTTCCTTTCTAAACAAAACAAACTGTCTGATCCACCGGCACAAGAATTACCGAAAAAAACTGATGATAATCCTACAATTCAACCTGAGCCTTCCACTTCAAAATTTCTTGATGTTGCACCGTATGCTGAACCAAGTGTTGAACAATCGGGTGCGAAACCTAAAGGATCCAATTTTGTTGATGTTGCGCCATATGTAAATTTCAGCGGCAACTTGTCTTCCCATGAAACATATACCTTATTGAGGTGTGCAATGATCCTTAATGACTCTTTCAAATATAACTATTCCACACACTTGAAAAATAATATATGTACTTATCAAAAAAAACACTTTGAGAAATTTCATTAGCTGTCATATTCAGAGGAACTACAAGGGCTTTTCTGTAAATATTGCGTGGTTTTTGCAAAATTAGGGGGAGTATATAAATCAACTAAATTGGGAAAACTTGTTACCGAACCACTAAATAAATTTTCAAAATTGTATGGCAAATCCGGTGATTGTGAGACACATGAGAACTCAATATATCATACAGAACCAATTTCAAATGCTACAAACTTTTTAAAGATTTACGAAAATCCAGAGAATGATATAAGAAATATAATAGGTTAGGAGCGAATTAAGCAAGTATCAGAAAATGGGCAAAGATTGACTCCTATAATTGAATCTATAATTTTTTTAGCACGCCAAAATATACCACTTATAGGGCATAGAGATAGGGGACAACGTTTTTCTAATGACAGCACGAATGACGAGGATGTCCTTAATAATGAAGGGAATTTTAGAGAACTAATACGGTTTAGAGTCGAGGGCAGCGACAATTTATTTAAAAAAAAAACTTAGAGAACTCAAAAGCGCAATGCTACGTACATAAGCAGCCGCATCCAAAATGAAATTATAGAATGTTGTGGCGAAGAAACCCCGGATATAGTTTTAAGTCGCGTCAGGCAAAGTCAGTATTACAATATTATATTTGACGATACTACAGACATTAGCAATAAATCACAAATGTCAATCGTATTGCGGTATTGTTATCAAAAACATAATTACGATGACTTCATGGGATTTGTGGATTGCTACTCAAATTTTGATGAAGATACAATGGAACCCAAACTCACAGGTCAAATTATTGCTCAAACAGTCAAGCATTTCATTAAAACCAAAACTATGTGTGGGCATTGGTACTGATACGTGTATCCTAATATTAGGTGAACAAAAGGGCGCTGTAATGGAATTGAAAAAATGTTTGCCAAATTCTCTAAAAAGCCCATGCGCAAAGCATGCCTTAAATCTTTCGATTTCAAAAAGCAGCAGTATCCAAGCAGTAAGAAATACTGTAGGGAAAATGAAGGAACTAAAGCGTTCTTCAAAGCATCCGCTAAAATAAATACAGTATTAAAAAGAAAACTAGACGGATATCAAATTCATAGTTTGTGCGAAACACGATGGACCGAGAGACATGATTCTGTGCACCAATTTGAAAGCAAATTCGAGAAAATTGTAGAGGTACTAAATATTATATCAAATTGGAAAGACGGCGATGCTTCTTCAAAAGCGGAGTCTTTGAATACTGCCATTACTTCCACCCAATTTATCGTATCACTAAAGTGTTTGTGTGATATATTAGCTTTAACAGTCAACCTGAGTAAGATTTTACAATAAAAAACAATTGACAAACAATACGCTGTCAAATTCATAGGAAATTTTATTTCAGTTGTACAAGAAAGACACGCAAATTCCGAAAAACACTTTAGAATACTATTCGCATCTATAATGAAATCACATGAAACCCTGGGTATTGAACTGACTGTGCCAAGAATAACAAGCAGGCAAATGAACACACCGAACATAGTTATGTCTTTACAGAGTGAACCTATATGTCAATTTGCAAGATAATATATTACAAGATTTGGTATACCAGTTCAATGAAGAATCTTTGAATATTTACAATTTTAATATTTTCTTTACGTCAGTATTTAATTCAAAAACTGAAGCTGAAGTAATGGACATATTAGAAACAATCTCTAAATATTTGCATGGACTAAATAGTAACGAAAACAAAAATTTAATAAGTACCAGATTAAAAGCAGAATTTGACCTTTGGAAGTCACGTACACAAGATATTATAGACAGTGGAATGTGTCACTGTATTTATCATGTGATGAAAACATTTTTCCTTCAATTAATAGATGCCTACAATTATTGATTTCATTGCCGGTAAGGGTTGCGACATCTGAAAGGATAAAAACTTGGCTGCACTCCACTATGTTACAAGAGCGATTAGTGGGTTTATCTCTTTTGTATATACATATGAATATTAAAATAGACGTCAAAAAAATGAGACATTGAAGCCATCACAGCATTAAAGTGACAAATAATGTTTATTTGCTTCTCATAAAATGAGTCATAATATCAGTGGAAGTGTAACACAGTTGAATGTACGAACATATTCTGGATGCCTAATTTAACCCATAGAGGACAGTGAAACATCAACCTGAGATAGCAGTCAGCAGCAAGTTTGCATATATTCACTTTGCACTAATAATGTAATCTGAGATGCAATGATGGAGAGGCGTCTTTTTAAGGCTATTGAAACCATATCACATCTCGATCCTGGATCCTATAGATAAAGGTTGGTGCTTTGCATGCTGTGATTTTCAGGTTAATCTGTAAGCCAGTAAAAGTATGGCAAGGACGTGAAGTTGATGATGCATACTCCTATGTATTGATAAGGTGGCCCCTCTGGGGGCATATACGTCACAAAACTTAGTGAGTGGGTGCCCTAAATCTTAAGTGGCATAGATTCACTAATCTTGTGATGATATGAAGTGGAACGTTTAAAAATACATATGTGCCAGCTAGAACAGTTTACACAGTCTATGGCCAAATCCAAGATCGAGAAACTGTCAGAGGGTAGGGGCTGGTATAGTAGTTTCCACAATATGGCGATGATGACCACTTTATTTCAACTTGAATGGTATAGGGTTACCTCTCGGAATGGCTTTCCAGTTAATTCTGAAACTCTGAACACGTTCACAATACTTTTCTCCGCGATTCACCCTTTGAAATGCAAGGGTATGACAAAAGGGGGGCAGATATGTCAGGTAGGTCGTTCTGCCCATATAGTTATTTGGAAATAACATTGTAACACAAGAATATAGCGCAGGTAATCTTTTTTCGATTTCCTTTAAAGCATCCTGAAGAGGAAAGATGAGGTTACATTGGTAAAATGGTATTTCCTCAAGTATAGAAGGCCGCCAAAATTGTCCCAACTTTGAAAACAGATGATAAATCTATTACATCCAATTACCTTGCCATATCGATTCTGCCAAACTTTTCGCAGCTTCTAGAAATCATTATGTATAATCACTTATACCCTGCAGTTTGTACTAGTATTATTCTGGCGCAACATGGATGTATGAGTGAAATATCAACAGAAACTAATCTGGTACTTATTACACAAGGACTATCGAAAGTTCTGGATCAGGGTGGTCAAGTAGATGTAATCTACACTGACTTGTCAAAAAGATTTTGATACAATGGATTATGGTATACTTCTTAAAAAACTTAGTAATTTCGGTATTTCGATGGATTTGATAGAATTTTGTAAATCTTACTCAAGCAATAGATCACAGTATGTATACTGTAGTTGGTACAATTCTAATGCATATAGTATTAACTCAGGTATTCCCCAACGGATCAAACTTAGGCTCACTACTATTCAATATGTTCATTAATGGTTTGGATAATGTAATTGAAGCCCAAAAATTGCTTTATGTTGCTTAAAGTCTATTGTGAAATAACTGCTATAGAAGATTGTCATAGGTTACAGGTCATGTTCAACAAAGCTCATTTATGGTGTTAATGTTGCAAAATGTAATCACTTTGTCTAAGACAAAAGCACCAATTTTATTTTATTACAACACTGATGGTATTTTTTAACTTTTTTAACTACTAAATATCTAAGAGTATTATTCGATTCGCAAATAAGTTTCATTAATCATATTGATATCAAAATTGCTGAAGCATACAAAATGTATGAATTCAATTGAAGCAGCATTGAAATATGTATTTTTATAAATACAGTCTAAACTGGAGTACTGTTCGAATGTTTGAAACCCATACTATCGGTGTCACAAAGATAGACTGGATAAACTACAATAGAAGTTTTTGAAATAACTTAAAAAGCACCATATACAGTAATGGACAAAAGTATATAGATATATTAATATTGTGCTGTTTTCTTTTTTAACTTGTTTTATTAATACACCAACCTGTATACATAATTCGTTATAGCATAATACTCACTTATACATAAATAAATTCAGTAGACTCCCTTCAATAAAAAATTAATTGAAAAAACTGGAACTATGAAGGACAACAATATATAGACAAAGCAGAACAATTATAGAAAAAAGAAGCAAAGTTCATTGAATTATAGAAAACCAACCATGCTTGTGTTAATATTTTGTAGCATAACCATTATTATCAATCACCGCCTGGCATCGTCTCGGCATAGATTGTAGAAGTTTCTTGATATAAGATTCATCAATCTGTCTCCACTTTTGCTCTAAAGCGGCAAAAAGTTCATCCCTGTTTGAATAATTTTCATTTTGTATTTGCTTATCTAAGTATTCCCATAGATTTTCAATGGGATTTATACCGGGAGACTGTGAAGGCCATGTGAGAACTGGTATTTTTTCATCCAGAAAGAATTTCTTTGCGAGATTTGAAGTGTGCTTCAGGTCATCATCTTGCTGGAAGATTGATCTTAAGGGCATATTGTCTTCGATATACGGTAACATGACATGCTTTAGTATGTCTGTGTATACAAACTTATCCATAATGCCATCTATGTAAAGGTCCCATCCCAAATCCCGAAAAGCACCCCCAAATGATAATAGACTCGCCTCCATGTTTGACAGTGGGGTTCAATCTTTGTCCACTAGGACGTCTAATGTAATGAACACCATCTGATCCAAACATATTGAACTTGGATTCGTCACTGAAACATACCCCCTTCCAGTCACAGTTGCTCCAATCAAGATGCAACCGTGCAAATTGTAACCGGTTCCTTACGGTTTTTCTTCGAGATTAGCGCGGCTTCTTACTCGGGCGACGTGCCAATAACTTCAAATCATTTAATCTTCTACTTATAGTTTTCGTAGAAACACTGACAATTCCTTTTGTCTCGATTTCAGCTTTTATTTGTCTTGGGGTTTTAAACGGATCTTTGGACGAAATTACTTTTATTAATCTAACTGATTTAGCATTTAGTTTTCTAGGCTGACTACTTCTCTTAGGGGCTTCCAAGATACCTTTTTGTTTCTGTTGTTTAATATTGCCCGAACTGGTTTACGCTTCAGGTTCAAATTTTTGGCAATGTCGACTTGATGTTGACCATCTTAGTTTTCACATCGAAAGAATTTTCTGGACCATGCGGCATTCTTAAAATCACAATACTTGATGAACACAAACTCCTCTTCTAACACGAAACTGTACTAATGTTGACAAGAATTTGTCTACAAATATTTGTCCCTCATAAAAAAGTGCTTATATTCAGACTTGTATTGTGTTCATTGCAAATACTGTAAAAACAAGAAATTTAGTTTTTCTACCAATAACGCATTTGTTTATGGAGCAATGAAGTATGAATTCGTTTTCTAAAGGTATTTAGGTAAATATTCATATTTGTCTATATACTTTTGTCTGTTACTGTATATGAATGCAGCTAAAGTTGACAAGGGAAGTTATACGATTCATGGCTATATATCATCCAATCAATAACATTATTCAATTTAACTAATATGGTTTTTGATTAGCAGATCTGGCGACATTGCTCTGAAAATACCACTACTGAATGCTAGGAAATGATACTAACTATAAAGCCTTAAATGCAACTAGGTAGGTGAAGTAACTAAACATATTAGAATTTGGTTCACATTACATTAGAAATGAAGATATGGTAAACATGAATTTGAATCTACTTTTAGGAATAGGATAATTTTACTATCAGACACAATTACAATCTGCCTCAAAATTAAAAATTCTGTGAATCATTACATTTGCAGAGGCATAGCCATCATGAGACAAAACAGTAGAATGCTCCATGAGTCAGAGTTTCAACAAGGATTTGCCCTTCAATGATTGTGAAGTTTCTGACTTAAAAGAAATATTTCTTTAGGGGACCCATACACACATAATGATAAGCACTGAGACAGATTTATGTCTTTTTTTGCTCTTCAATGGTATTTCTTCCATAGAAACAGGGGATCAAAAAAAGTTGAACCAAGGGGACCAAAAAATGTTGAACCAAGGAGCCCACACAATACACACTAGTAATACACAAAGTATTATATTTTATAAAATATCAGATATCTATATTGGCATTTAAAACAAGGAACCGAGTATAATCTTTTAATAAACCTTTTTGACACTAACAGTTTGGAGTTCAGATGGCCACAGTCATCCCTTTCATTCATAAGTATGATCTTATTGACTGCCTAGATCTTTTATCTTGTATTAAATTTAACATAAGTCAATAATCTAATTCTAGACAGTCATTAAAATTTTATTCTACTGCTGCTACGACAAATCTAATGTTGAAATCCCCATTATCAGTAATGTTTTCACATTATAGTAAGATATTGCAGCATGTCAGCATATTCAATTGTGAACTCAAGGAACTAAAGCGTGCTGCTAAGAAAATGTCATAAAATACCTGTGTATAGTATTTCTTTATTTTGCTCTGTAACAAGATTCTGTATCTGATGGGCCATAAATGCTATTATTATTATTATTCACAGGCCCTAGTACAGGAAAACATTGTCTTATGAAAATCATTGTGCTCCCAGTACACCTCTCTATGCTCTTTTGTTTATATCTCATATCTCCATGAACTTCAATGCGATTTGCTGGTACAATTTTTTTTTCCATTTTGCCCTTCTTTACCCTTCAATGGCCAAAATATAACTTCACTTTCATACATTAATGGTCATCATTGTGTGAAAATGTACATATTTGGTTTTATTTGTCTTAAATTAAGCATTTTTGAAATGTGAAAACACATTACCAATATGAAAGTAGAATGATCACTTCACTAAATCTCAATTGATTGCAATGGTAGAACTCACTGGACTGCAGCGGGCATGCAACATTTGTCCACAGCTGAAGTAAGTATTCCAGAAAAAGCATTGAAACCATCTCACAAATTGTATAGTTTTATAATATTTCTAGTTCAAATATGTTAAATTACATTTTTCTATTTTCATTAGTGCTTTGTTCATTCAAACTAAATAGAGCAAAATTTTAGGCTGTATTTTCTCCTACTGGCAAAACTGTGGTAGCACCATGATTTTACAAATACAAATTATATCTACTTTGGGACCTCTTAAAGGAGAAACTCTGAGGCCTTATAAATAACCTGTTAGTGTTAAAAATTTAACTAGATGGTTATAATTTAACATTTAACTTTCCAGTTAAATGCCCAAACAGTTACTGAATAGACCCCAATATCAGTAACAAACCTCAAACTAACATATTTACTCACTCTTGTAAATACATGATAAAAATGTGTTGCAATTATAAGCTATACTGGATATTTTTGAACCAAATGTGAGTATTCAATACCAAGTTTTCACAAAATCTAAAGTTCAAATCATGAGATTTAAAATACTAAAAAATCTACTGATTCACACAATTAGCCAAAGAAATACTTTAATAAAAACACATTAGTAACTGTTTGTCTACTCAATGTATTAAAAAATCAAACAAGCCACAAATTTGTAATAATTTTACATACTAAAATTGTAATCACAATATGGTAATGACAAACACTTCCATACAAACTCATTGAATATACCAAATGTGTTGTTGCGGAAGGTCAGTTAGTTAACCTTAAATAATGAACAAATAAAAAATAATTTTACCTTCCTCATAACATAAACATGGGCAATAATAAAATATAATCTTGTCAACATCATTGAGTAATGAATTTCATTGGAAATATTTTATAAACAATTAAGAGTTTTAGTTAATGATAGGATAAAGATAAGGATAACAAAATTACGCCTCAAAAAATTATCTTAAAACACAAGCCTGTGGATTTCAGATTGAAAAGTTACATACCTTGCTAAAAGAAGTTCAGTAAGGTGTTTTTTGAAGTTTTCCAACTGATCTCTGGGAAAGGAATCACTTTTCTCGATGAATCGAATAAAGAACATAACAGCAGTTAAAATTTCTTCCTTCATAGTTGCTTGGACAAGTTACCTACATCGATATGCAAACAGTAATTGCCAAATATGTTCACTTTTATGTGTAACCTGGAAAAAACAAAGTGCTTTGTTTTGAAAACTTCATATAATCACCTGAGTAATTATCAATAGCACATCTGTGAATAACAGTTTTGAGCAGACTGGAAATAACTCGCACAGTTTCACATTTAGAATTTGAACCGATGAGAAATCGTAACGTGAAGCGACAGAACAGATTTTTACGTGCAGATGCAGGTCAATAAAACAAAAGAAAAAGCATCCATTTTTTCGTTACACATATCTCTCTGAAATGGTCTGCAACGCAAGAGAATTCTTTTCTGAACGTTTTTTTGCGCGACGATTACATCCAGTTCTATAAATTCATGCTCTTACGAAACTATCTTTTGACGAAAACGAGTACAACATGCAAGATCATACTGGCATTTGCGGAGGACATCGTACTCATTACATTTCCGTTTACAAAAAACATCTGCCGACTGCGTAGTGCATTTTACACTTACCAGAAAGTCTTCAACGGAACGAAAATGATAAAATACGAATAAATGAATTAATTCTTCTGGATAATATAATATTTTACGAACATATTTGGCAGTACACGTACACAAAGCACTTTTTAGACAGACAAAATAACACGAAATGATAAAATAGAAAGAGGTCAGTCTAATACCACAGAACAGCACTACAGAGGTGTAAGGTGTAAGTCACATCGTCACATGCTAAAAGCCACAGCCAAAAGCTCATATCAGGAATATACAAACGGGGAAACGGGCCCGGTATAATGAACACGTGATCCCAACGTAAACAGCGATATTTATATTGATTGGTTTATCTATCATAAATAGACTTCGCTCATTCATTTCCTTAGACATATCTTTGCATCTATTATCGTAATCTTTCTTCGAACAAACGTCATAATTCAATCTGTGGTTCCGTGTCAAATGGCACATCCAGTAACCACATTTTTAAATCGAGAATCCGAAGTTGTGCATTGTGCAAAGGTGTAAAAAAATGAATATTTTCAGAAGATTATGCCTCAAAGATATAACTAAAATTATTCAAAGTGAAGCTAGATGCTATTCTGGAGGATTATATGAACCCCATTACTTAGATGTACGATACACGCTAGATTTTAGTTAAAAAAAAACGAAATACAAATTCTCATTGCAGGAAATGAAATCAAAAACACCATTGTACGATACGCTGAATATTATCTTACGAGGATATGATTACCCAATACTTGAAAATTACCAAAAGCAGTTGCACAATCTATTAAAGAACATGGAAATTGATGTTGAAGAAAGTTGGGCTATTCCCCCACAACACATCCAAATATCTACTTATAAGCCAAAAAGTGACTTGGTACAGTCTCAATTTTTACTAAAAACCTATGAGAGGATTATTCAAATTACTGATGTGCCATCTATACAGGTGATATACTTTAAAGTAGTTAAATTGCACATTTTCTACAAAACCCTTTATAGATGATAACATTATACCAAAAGCATAAAGACAAACCAGTACCATGTTAATTGATCAATTTAATATTTATGATAATACTTTTTACCTATATTAAATGACGTTAACTATGAGACTGAGTGCAAGTCACAACTTGAGAAATCAAAGATGTGCTTAGTTTAAACACGTATGTATTTCTCCATCCCTTTCCAATACATTTTCTATGAAATAGAAAAAAGTCATGGTAAACAGCATATTTTTGATAGATTTGGACGATTTTTATAGTAAATGTAATGGGTCCAGTAAGCTAGTGTGTTTTTGGAATTTGCATAACTTATTCTCATTAATATTATAAATGAGAAACTGTGGATGTTTGTAACTCAGTCATGCAGAAATGGCTGAAATTTTGTACAGAAATAGACTATAGTGTAGAATAGCACATTGGAGATCGCTGTCTTTTGTTGTGAAAATAAAACATGAAGAGTTTGAAATGGGGGTGAAAGTTTCTATGTGGAAACTACTATTGTTGAAGTCAGATGTACAAATATGGGTTTTGCACTTACAAAGAAATTTTGGAAATGGGAAGTGGGCGTTAATACCTTCGAGGCTAAACAACCAAGAATATATCAAATTAGTACAGACTTACAAGTGGGAGTTGTTCTATCTAGAATTATTTATAAAGGATTCCAGAAATTATATTTTTAAGATGGGGTAGTAAGGGACTGAATATTTTTATATGGAACTTTAACACTTCAAGTGGAGTTTAAAGAAATTTGTCTCAAAAACTATTTGACCTATGGACACAAAAATTAGCAGAGATGTACTTAATGGACAGGAGATGTCAGCTTAGAACCGATTTCGTGACAGGGTGGATTAAGGGGGCTGAGACAACATATATAAAAAAGTGTTAATCATAAAATTTTGAAAACTTTTCGGACTATGGATATCAAATTGGGCAGGAAGGAAATTTATGGAAGGACACCTGAGCTAAGAATAGATTTTGTGCCAGGGCTGGATTAAGGGGGCTATAATGCCAGATATTTGACTTATGAACGTGAAATGTGACAGGAAGGTAACTTATGGACAGGACATGTAGTTAAGAACAGATTTTGTGACAGGGCCAGATTAAGCGGAGATAGAAGCATTTACAAGTATGTAAAAAAGTCCTTTATTTTCCTACTGGCGATAATTTGACAGGAAGGTAGTTTATAGGTAGTGATGTCAGTAAAGACTGGATTTTGCGACATGGCCATACTGTGCGGGGGTTAAGTTTGTTTGAAAATTTTACAATGTGAATTTTGGTGCAAATAAATGTGTTGGTATCAAAATTTTAGTTGTTTCAGCAATTTTAAGGGTACTAAGTTACGGATAACAGCTAGTTATAATTCTTGTATACAGGTTGCTAATGCATTTTTTTCATAGAAAAACACTGCAGAGCCATGAAACAGCTACTGCAGCTCCTTAAACTAGAATTATGTTGTAGTATGTAAATAACAAGAACCACAAAACAAAATCCTTAAGGATAATTATCCTCAAACAATAATTTAGGTTTAGTTGAAATTGGCCCCGTAGCGATATTTTAATATTTGATTTTGAAATTTGTGCAGTATGGGGTCTGAGATTGCATACCTTCAATAAAAACATGTTTTAAATGGCAAATCTATGCCTTTCGAATCTAAGGCTTCCATTTACGACTAATTGTTTGGCTCCAAAAGTCTGAAGTTGTTTTCCTGTTATGTTAATATTGTCTTACAAATATGCAATATGCCAATAAAACAGATTGGAGAGTTGAAATATGGGTACACAGTGTCTTAATGTGAAAAACACATACCCAGCAATTGCAAAACTTTTAATATTTATTCCATCGATCCATCAGTATTTCAATCTGGATATGTTTCCAGGTCTCACCTTTTTTTAAAAAAAAGCACTTGGTGTATCCATAGATGGTACTTGTTTTTGTTTAAAGACGATAGTTATATTAAGCATTTTCAACACCAAAAAAGTAATGATGACATCTCTTATATATACTGAGTGACAAAAAAGGTAAACACCTACTTATGTTTATTAGAATTCAAGATTTTTTTACATATCGATTTATTTTGCCATGAACAAGTGATAAAATGGTCAGGTTTTTCTATTAAGTTTTTATGGTGTCTGCGTGTATTGTTTGGTGTCAGTTAAATGTTAAATTTCGTGTAGCTTATCGATAAACCTTTTTTTGATTGCTCAAAATGCCTAGAGTGCAAGGAATTCGCCGGCTGTCCCAGCTAAGTGTCTTTGAGAACGGTTGCATCGTGAGAAGGCGACGTGGTGAAAGACGTGACCCACAATGTGACAGAGAGCGTCACGTTCACTACACCGTGGGGGTTATGGTATGGGGTGCTATTGCTTATGGTAGCAGATCACCACTAATTTTTATCAGAGGTAATATCATAGCCCGACGCTATATTCAGGAAGTAGTGGAGCCTCATCTTATTCCATACCTAAACACCATCCAAAACCCGATTTTTCAGCAAGACAATGCCAGACCGCATGTTGCCAGAGCGTCGTTAGCCTTCATGGATCAACATGGCATCAAGCGTTCGCCTTGGCCACCACGATCGCCTGACCTATCTCCAATTGAACATGTCTAGGACATGATAGGTCGCAGGCTCTTGAATTTGCAACACGTTCCACAGACTTTAGCACGTCTTACTCACGAAGTTGCAGTAGCCTGGAATGAGATACCCCAACAGGATATCGACCACCTTATCAGCACGATGTTCAGGCGTGTCAATGAGTGTATAAGAAATCTTGGATCCTCAACACATTATTGAACCAGCTTCTGCAGTCAGTTGACGAATCAAGCTGAAAATTTAATCATTTTACTAGTAAGGGACACTGAACATCCTATATGCCAAAGATTATTAAAATCTGATAAACATACGTAGATGTTTACCTTTTTTTGTCACTCAGTATACTTAGGTTCAAAATTATATCATAACTTTCCAAAATATATTCGAAGAAAACCGAATAATCAGTATTCAAAATAGTGGCTATTGAATACTGATATAAGGATGATAAAAACTCATAAATATATTTTCCGCATTAATAATTTACGATACAAAATTAAAGTATTACCTTTATATTATAGATTTGTTCTAATCAATTTATTGTTACTGAAGAATGATATCCACACACGGATATTTTCCTTTTGTGGCATATCAATTTATAATTGATGTGAATAAATATTATTATTATATTTTTAGCTCCCAATTATAATAAGAGTAATAGAAGCAGGACTTCCTGCTGGAGTATCTGTCAATATACGTCCACATGAGGAAGCTGATGAAGAGAATCGTTATATTCCTGATAGTGAATTAAATGCTCTTAAAAGTGAATTGGAAGAATTAGGAGGACCTTCCAAGAAAAAGTGATTTGGAATTTTTTATTATTGTTTCATACAATTTACTAGGGTGTACATTGATAAATTTAGAACGTGACTGAAATGGTTGAATTTTTATTTCATCTATTCTACCTTTTTTGTGTCTATGTGTGCACTTTAGCACACACATTAGAGACCCTTTAAGTATTACCTAACACTAACACTTCGCTTTTTTTTATGACAGGGCCTAGTTGTTTAGTAGTCTAATATTATCAAATTTCCACGGAATAATTGGACCGCGATATGCATAACTTGACCCAGCGCCATTTGATAAATTTCCAGATTTTGCCGCCATCTGGATGCACAGTAGTTCAACTTACGCGTGAAAAAATGCATGCATGAGGTTCAAAAGCGAAAACATTTTTAACTAAGCGCCAAGCGTAATATTTGTTATTTTTTTGCAACACATGACAAGCCTTTCAGTATTTTTTGTTAAAACTGATTTTGAAGTTCCCTCTAAAGAGGTTAATATTGAGAAAAGACGTAGCAGACCATCAAATGCTTCGATTCAAGCATTGCTTAGTAAACCGCTCGAAAAACTGTGGCCAAATGGAAAACCTATAGCAGAAAAGAAGCTAGATGATTTAAAATAATTACTCTTAGACAGAAAGAAGTTCTATATGAATTTAGTTGGCGATTCAAGTATTGAGGAAGATATAGATGGGTTCAACGGTCAACCAGATTTCGAGCTTGAGGATGAATAATATAAATTTTCGATTCAGGTTCTTGATTCAGTTCGAAAATGTGTGGTTACTTCTTGCTTCATTCTATTTTTGAATCATTGTATAATTGAGTTTATTACAACATTTGTCATTCAAGCAAATTCTTATTTGGTTTCAAGAATGTTTTAATTTGTGTAGTTTTAATTTTTCAATGAATTTGATGCTAATTACTAAAATACAAAAATAAAGAATCTTCTGTAATGCGTTCCTTATTTTGCATAGCATGACCAAGTAACATTTTTGTGTTGAGGTCATTATGTCAAAGGAAAAATGAGGATTCTTTTTGAAAGCAATACTTGACCAAGCTCCATTTCATTTCATTAAGTTTCAGGAATGAGTTTTTGAAAAAATGATTGCATACATACATTTGTAATATCATTTTCTATTCACAGAACAAAAATCATTCAACACAATTGTAGCATTGATTTTTAACGAATTGTTAAAGTTTATTCATCCTCCTGAAAAACAGGGATTTGTCGCTTGGTCAAGTCATGCATAGCGCGGTCCAATTGTAAAGTCTGGTTTTATTGACGCAAGTTGTTCAATGGTGTATTCAAAACATGGACACATAAAATGGGTACACCAATTTTTGCGGGAAAACTTTTTATTCGACAACAAAGAATTACGTGTTTTTTGGGATTCAATCGAAAGTGTTGTCAGAAACCAAAAAACTCTCCAAATAAGATTTTTAGGTGCTCATGAGACCACACTTAGAAAAATCCAATTAACAGTAAAAAAGTTATGGCCGAAAACCATGCAAAATGCAGGTTATGGCTCTTGTTGCTAATGCGACGATAATTTCACGCAGCTACTTAAAATTCTTTAAATCCGTAGGCGTCATACTTCTGAATAACTACAACAAAATTGGCGTCGAGGGGTCAAGTAGTTTTTGAGAATTTCTAATTGTTTATCCCAAAATACCTGTCTTCCGGCCATTACTACTAGTTTACTGAGCAATATACAGGATTCGTTCAACGGGCATTTTATAGCGAAATATACGAGTTCACCTTGCCGACATGAATCACAAACCATTCCGAAAGATAATTGTTATTTTTATGCGAAAAACAAAAGGCATAAACAATTAGAAATTCTCAAAAACTACTTGACCAATCGACTCCAATTTTGGTGTCGTTATTCAGAAGTATGAAGCCTATGCATTTGAAGAATTTAAAGTATCTGCGCGAAGCTATCGTCGCGTTACCAACAAGTGCTAAAAGCTGCCACTTACCTCGGTTTTCGGCCATAACTTTTTTACTATTAGTCGGTTGTTTTAACGTGCGATCTCATTCTGTGCGTCTCATAAATACCTAAAAATCTTATTTGAAGAGTTTTTTAGTTCCTGCCAACACTTTCGATTGAATTCCCAAAAACATGTTTTGTTGTCATATAAAAAGTTTTACCACAAACATTGGTGTACCCATTTTATCCGTCCATGTTTTAAATACCCCCTTGAAACACTTGCAACAAAAAAACCAGACTTTGCAATTATTTCGCAAGCCAGGGGTATTTTTGTCTAATATGATTAGAATAATAAAACTTGTAGAGTGCAGAGTAGCTCCTCATGTTTATGGCCAGTATTTCTAGACATTAAATGGTATTCAGAAAATGCATCAAACTGAAAAAAGTATTAAAATGTTTATGTAAGCTTGGGATAATTTATCAAGCTATTTGATAGTCAAATAAAACGGATTAGGCGCAACATGTTTGTTGCGTTCGTTTTGCAGGTGAAGTGGAACAGCTCAAAAGGGATGAGGCTGTCAAATCTGATGTCTAGTTTATTAAAGAAATCAAATTTCATCTAAACTGAGTTTTGATAGAAAGAACGTGCAATAAACTGTAAGTGACGGGAGATTATCTGAGATAGTATGTAGAACGAGTGCAACTATTAAGCAAAAGCAACAGACATGTTAGAAAAAGTCGGACAAAAAAATGGGAAATATCAATAAAGATATCTTTTAATGCTTCACATGACAAATACAATATTGTAAAATGTAACAGCAAAACTGTAATATTTTATCACAGTTTGGTTTAAAACTTGTAACTCAATACAAAATCAATTTGTTATAATCAAAATAATAAAACTCAAAACTCATTTCTTTTGAAAATTCGCAGCAATCCTTGGCTTCCGTTTTGTCTTCCCATCATTCCCTTTGTCAGAATGTTGCATCTGAAAATATTCCAATATACCTTTGTATCAAATTCAACAGAGAATTATCAAAATATATATATATACAACAAAAAACTTAAAATATAAGGAGATAGGCACGGTTATTACGTAAGAAACCGATATAATGCCAAAAAACGATTATTGTCAGACAAAAAAAAACGACATGATGTCACTTTTCAAGTTACGTAATACCTCTGCAGGTCATATAAATAGCACAAAAAATATTTAGAAAATAATAGCACGTAATTTCATCATAGCATATCAACATAGCCAATTACCAAAGATTTGGGAAGCGGGCTTTTCTAAAAATAAGTACCTTTTTCGTTTTACCATCATTTATAGTAACAGGTGCATGTTCTTGTTCAGTATTTTCTTTTCTGTTACCTCCCTGCGGTTTATTTACATTATGCCCGGCTGTCTTTATGTGGTTTTTGACAGCTTGTAATGGTACCAGGGAGTTGTGGAGAACTGCAGCAGTTGACTCCTTACTTCTGAGATGCTGTTCTTCGGGATTTGGTGCTTTAGTGTTGACTGACTTCTGGAATTAAACAGACTTTCAATAATCTATTTATCCACTAGAAGAACGATTACACTGGAACTTTGATTAATTTGAACTACGATTCAACATAAACTTAAAAACAAAAGAAAAAAGTAAGGATATACAAAATAATATAAAACAACTTCAGTGGAGTCACAGGACAACCGCATATTCTCTGCAATACTGCCTGAACAACTTGCAATTGGCTTGTTTTCGTTACATGAGACGCACCATCGGTAACATTCAAATATGAAAGTCAGACAGATTTAGGTATTTTTGCTCTTCATGCTGAAGAAATGTAAGGATATTATCTAAGTGCATTTACCTTCTCAGATGCAACCCATGTCTTAGGAGGCTCTGGAAAGCTTTTGCCTTTTCGTACACCGTTATGTTCGGATTTTGGCTGCGAAAAAAAAAACAAGAAGACAGTATAACAAAATGTAAATAAAAAGGCCCTCTCGCATGTTTTTCAAACTGTTTTTACTTTTCAATACTACTTCTTTCCCCATCTGTAAAAGGATGAGGCAACTAGTGATAGTGATGACGTCGCCAGATTAATTAGCTATCATATACAAGGTGGTTCAAAAAATAGTTGCAATATTTCTAGGGCATGATATAGATCAAAAAATAATATGAAAAGTTAAAATAAACATGGGCTCTAAAATGCCTGCTCACCGAGTTAAAGGGATTTCAAAATCGAGAAAGTATTCTTTAGGAGTGGATTGATTTACTAAACATTTTGTACAAGTACTTCAAACGGTATAATTAATATATCAAATAATACATTTTCGCGCCTGGGACTATATCATGAAAATTGGGAATTTGTCCCGCACAGAAGAAGGGAAATTATTATTTACGCTAATGTTTTTTTTGTTAAACATTATTGCATTTTCAAGAAGGTATTCAATGTTTCAAGAATCGCCTCTCATGTGAAATTTTTGTATACTACTCATTTTGGTTTGAATATGCTAAGTTCTGTACTTTGAAAATACACTGATGTTAGTGAAGTTTGATATTGACAACTATCTATAGTAGGAGGGTTGACCGTAACTTAAGATCTTCAATGCTTTTACACATAGTAAACATAATTTTATTGCAAAACCAATAACATATTCTGAAGGCTTGGGCTTTTAGCTATTTTTCACACCCGCACCGTACCACTCTCCTGCTGACTTGCGCATTCACCTCATGTGTTACTTCAAGCTGGGGAACAAATGCTAGTTACTGGGTGCCAAATCGGGGCTATATGGAGGATGATCAATGATTTCCCAGCCGAATTTGGCGATGGCAGACGTCGTGAGGGTCGGTGTTGTCATGGTTCAAACCAACTTCCTTTGTCAGTCGACGTAGCTTTGATATGTGTCTCCTGAGTACCTTGCCAAGTTAATTGTTGTACCATTTTCCAGGTAGTCTACCAAAAGAACGCCTGTCCTGTCCCAGAATACCGAAGTCATGACATTTTCTGCTGAAAGCCAGAACTTTTTGACACCTGGAGAACTGGACTGCCCCCCTTGTTTTGATTGTCCTTTAGACTATGGCTTTTAGTAGTGAACCAAGTCTCGTCCCCAGTTACAAATGAATCTAAGAATTCCTCACCCGCTTCCCCGTAATGGCGCAGAATCTCGCAAGCATTCGCGGCGCCCACCTTGTGATACTTCAAAATATCCATCAAAATCTTGTCTATGGTAGTCTTAGAGACGTCCCTTATCTGTTCGGTACTCTCTCTTTCTCCGCAACCAAAAGTTCCTGTACTTTCGTCACTGTCTGGTCCGAGACTGATGGACCGCCTCGTCGTGCACATTTGTCTGACCTTCTGCGAATTCCGTACAAAACATACGCACATTTTTTGTAAGTATACATCGGTCGATTAGTGATGGATTTCAATATCGGTTGGCGGGAGAGTCAATTATCCCTTCTATTAAGGGTTGCTAAACCAATACCGAGCATCCCAGAGCAGTGGTGTGTAGTTCGCGAACGAACTAGTTCAATCCAACCATTGTTATGATTGAACTAGTTCATCTTTCGTTGAAAAGTCGTTCGCTCGTTAACTACACTCCCGATGATCCATTCGAACTAGTTATGTTTGAATGAACGAGAACGAGATATGAAAAAGGAGATAGAACATAACCGTAAGCGGAAGGATGTATTACTGGTTGCCTGGAAGTTATGAAAAAGATGAAAGACGATAAATGCTGTTAGTTATGAAGGATAAACAAATTCAATGTTTGTTAACGTTTACAAAAAATGATCACCCATTGCGGCTCATGAAATTAACACAATACTAAAATGAAAATGTAAATTAACTACAAATTTCAAGCACCGCTTGCTGCGCCTTCGAAAAAAGCTTCTCAATTAATCTGGGATAGATTTTGCTCGTTCCTGGCACCACTTCAGGGGTAAAATCGGATAATGAAAATATTTATTTCGTTCGACAATGCCTGCTGCGACTGGATTTTAAACGGCGCAAAAACGTTTTACCTCAAGGTGAGAATTGTCCGAAAGGTCTTATACTATTTTTTTCTTCAGTTCATTTAATTGGCTTTGGTCTGCGATACTTAAAAAACCCGTTACCGCGAAAGGAGGACATCTACATACCTAGAGTTGCCTAGGTTTGTATTATTTATTGAAAATCTTCTGAAATGGTGAAATCAAAAAACAAAAGTGAACAGGGTGGCCAACAAAGAATGCGAGGTACTGTATCTGGGAACCTATCCATCGTAGAGGTTTGCGGCAAAAACAGTTATTACTAAAATGGCCAAGAGAAAAACTGGAAAATAATTTAATAAGTTTCTGAAATGGTCGCTAGGGGGCGTAACTGCAATCTTGAATCTAAAAAGTGATGTTTCTGTGGATTCCGCTATATTAACCCAACAAAGAAACCTGATCTTTAAATTCGAGGATAATCTGAACCTTTTTTGTTTGACATTTTTTTGCGGTATCTCTAAAAATAAAGTGGTTATTCAAAAGTTTCGATAAAAAACACATTGTATCTTCGAAACGGCTGAGCCGATTTTAACAAACTTGGCCTAGTTGAAAAGAGCTACTATTGGGCAATGTTATAATATTTGGAGTTTTGTTAGATTCGCATGAGGCCGCTAGAGGGCTTTTTCGACATTCCGACAGAAATGGTTAATTTCTTCAAAAAAAATTAAATGTATTGGTATGATTTTATTCATAAAAAGTAGCTAAATGCTAAACAAGCTCGTGATAACCCCATTTCGATATCTTGTCCCTAACCTAAAAATTCGACCAAAGAAAATTTTTAACGGAAATCCCTTATATTATTATTTATATAATATAAAATCACCCTTTCTGAAAATCTTACAAAAAGCCATATTTCTTGATTACATGCATATTCACTATGGGTATATACCAAAAAGACAACTAATAGAATGGAATACAACAAAACAAATGCCTAATCAAAACATAAATAATCCTCAAATTGTCAATAGTTTCGCCTATATGCGTTTTTTAATTAGCATTACTTACTTACCTCTTAGCGATATTTTGTAATATTTTCAAAAAGGGTGATTTTATTCTGATGAATAAAAAAGAATTCCAGAAAAATTAGGTTAAAAAATAAATATTTAGCGGATTTCTGAATAAAATTTTCTTTGGCTTAAATTTTAGGTTAGGAACCAGATATCGAAATGCAGTTTTCAAGAGCTTGTTTAGACATCATTTAGCTACTTTTGCATTAATATACCAATGCATTTATTTTTTTTGAAAAAATTAACCATTTCTGTCGGAATGTCGAAAAAAGCTCTCTAGCGGCCACATGTGAAACTAACAAAACTTCAAATATCATAACATTTGTAGCCTAAAAATAGTTTGTTAAAATGGGACCAGTCGTTTCGAAGATACAGAAACCTTTGAATACCCACCACAACTTTATATTTAGAGCGACAGGAAACACTGTCAAACAAATAAAGTTCACATTATCCTCGACTTTAGCAACAACTTTTTTTGCCATAAGCCTCTACGATGGATAGGTTGCCAGATACAGTACCTCGCATTCTTAGTTGGCCACCCTGTACATTATTTGAGATTGTTAGAAAAGGTGTACGAGGGTGGTCCCAGAAGTATCCCCAAGAACACGCGATGATACATGCAGTGCAGGCGGAGTACGACGTTGCCAGTTGTGTGAGGGATTTTGTTTGTCTGCTTTTATTCGGAAAATTGTATTTAATAAGCAAGCAAAATTATTTTGTTCGAAACAGTTAATTAATAAATAGATGTATTGATACATTTTACGCTATTAGGCAAATGAATTTAAATTATTAAGGTGCAAAAATAATTTATTTCATGACTAAAAAGAAATAAGTTCAGCATTTTTTTGCTCCGAAACGGTTGATTTTCGGACATAAGTTATGATGAACTTTTTTGCTCAGAACAATGCAAGGAATCACCTCTTAAAGTTACGAATATTATTTCCCTAACACCCTGTATTAATCTTCAGAAGTATGTATGAATAAGATGAAAGCGGAGGAAAACTATTGGAATCATTTTTTACGACATTAAACTCAAGTTTGATCAATATTGCAGCAGAGCGTTGTGAGTGGTAAAAAACAGAAATAAAACTAGATGCCTTTGTGGTGGTCTAAGGTATTCAACCTCAGTTTAACATCTTTCCTTGTCAAGAATTCTGCATTTGAATCATCGATATAGTAGGCCAAACAAAGTATTGGATGAAATTTTTTTCTTTGTTGTTTATTTCTGTTTGCATTCGGGGCTGTTTCAGAATAAAACAAAACTGATGAATGTGCATTGTGTATCAGAGATACACTTCCACCTAATTCTACAATCCGGTTCATAATAATGTCGAAGTTACTTCCATATTTGTCCATCAACTCCCAATAATACACTACTGTAAACCACCCAATCAAAAAACGACCGAGGGTACGTTTCTAATCTAGCAAGTTGTTCGGCGAATGTTGAAACATACCACCTTGCTGCAGACGGTAGAACCCAACAAACTTTTGATGGATGTGCCAGCCAATGCGGCGCAACATGTTGCGATACTTTGTTGTAATGTAAACTTATCATCTGAGGTGATGCTTTATATAATGGTGAATAACTGGATGGAAAGAATTTCAAAAAATGGTCCTATTATCACAGATATATTCGACCATCCTATATAACGAAAAAAATATGTTTGTTTTATATACTTTATCGACAGTAAACTTATTCTATGAAGGTAAAAAATATACATTTTTAGTTGCAATAACTTACTACAATTTCTCTAGTAGAAATTTAGTGTTATGTGTGAAGACTTGGACGAAATGAATCCAGCAATACGTCATCGAAGACTTACCTAGAAATAGTGATACGCTGTAAATTCAAATAAGTTGTCCTACTTATCCAGCTTTCTTCATAAAGTTGGATACAAGAGATTTTGAGTAAGTAGTTAGTCTATGCCAATATTTGTTGCAATTTGTAGTACGAATATTTGTATTTTCATTTTTTTTTTCTCAACAAGAAGTGGCGAAAACTGCCGCTCAAGGTTCAAACGTGAAAGGGTTCTTCTGTACCTACATTTTTGTAGTTAAATATTTCAGCGCATATGTATTCTTGATGTGCATCAAAATGTTTCTTATTGTGTTAGTACCAACCCTTAACTACTATCCGCCGGGTCAAAATGACCCAAATCATATTG